CTACGCCACGAATGAGCGAGAGTTGTTAGCTATTGTCTGGGCTCTAGGTAAACTGCAAAATTACCTCTATGGGACAAAAGAAATGAATATTTTAACTGATCATCAGCCCCTTACTGCTGTATCAGACAGAAGCTCGACCGCAAAAATCAAACAATGGAAGGTATTCATCGATGAACACAACGCAAAAGAAAATTACGTGGCGGATGCCCTGTCTCATCAAAATGTAAACGCCTTACAAAACGATACACAGTCAGACGCTGCAACGATTCACAGCGAAATGTCATTGACTTACACGATCGAAACGACTGAAAAGCCTTTAAGCTGTTTCAAAAATCAAACTTTTTTGAAGACAGGATTGGACTTGCAATCATACTAGTGTTAGGAGTAATACATGATCGGATTATTGACTACTCCCACTTCAACTATATACCGGTAATCGACGGAAAGAATAACCAAATTATTCCCTCAGTCGCACATGCGAAAACTGCTTGACGTGAACACAGAGCATATCAGAAATCTATTAAACGTAGTAAAAGTAAACCACATAATGGCAAGAAGCTTAGATTTCTTGGGTTCCGAGTCAAATTTAATTAATGCGAACAATAGGCAGCTAGTCATTAATACACAAACACAGGCACAAATTAGTAAACTCACCGACACGGTGAACGATATAATTAAATCTATAAGAAATGAATTGGTTGACACACCTCATTTATATGAAACACTATTAGCAAGAAATAGAATACTAATTAATCAAATATCGGACTTGATACTCACAATTACACTAGCCAAAGAGGGTATAATTAATCCCAGAATATTTAACCCCAACCATATATTAATAACGTAAGAAAATCACCATCTTCCCGGTGCCACACCAACACGTCACACTACAGCTACAAGATGATATCATAGCCGAGTGCGACGATAACATTTTAGCGGTCAATGAATGTGTAACGATGACCTACGCCACCGTCTGTAAATTGGCAGCGCAAGACACCTGCGCACGAGCACTGCACGCCAGCACCACAGCCCTTTGCCGCACGCAGCCAAGCCACCTAAAGCCCATTACACAAGTAGATGACGGTATTATCATTATCAACGAGAGTGCTGCCAAGGTCAGCACAGACGATGGTCCATAGATTACTACAAACGGGTCACACCTCGTCACCTTCCTCTCATCGGCCACAATCAACGGTACAAACTATGTAAGCCAAATCGCCAGGCGTGGTAGGGTCGCCTCTAATCAGCATCATCAGCTATGATCCAGTGCTAAACATGCCAAAGGATGAACAAAGTTTCGAGGACGAATTGAAAGCCGCCGGGTCACATAAGATTTGGATTGCAGCAGGCATTATCCTCAGTGTCTTTGGCATTTGCTTTCTTATCATTTGGCGAATTGTAAAGAGAAGGCAGGCACCGAAGGAAGTACACAGAAGGCCATTAACAGCTATAAAATAACCGAGGACGGTCATTAACAGAAGGCCATTAACAGCTATAAAATAACCGAGGACGGTCATTAACAGAAGGCCATTAACAGCTATAAAATAACCGAGGACGGTCAAAAGCTTGAGGGCGGACTTGTTAACACATAAGAATTTCACTTCATATTTATGTCATAAGAAAATTTTTGTTAATAAGAACGCAAGAATGTTGCAGTGCACTTTGCTTACATTCTGCTGCTACGACACTAGCCGTTATCAATCCGTTATACTAATTGTTTCATTGCTGAGTCACAAGGCCAGTGATTTGGAAAGCTAGTTGCTTTCCTAACATAATCTACAAGGAATGTAACTTTACCAATCTCAGCACCTGTGACGAGGATATGAATACACAACATCAACATCTACAATTGAGAAATCAAATAACTTACATATGTTTGTGTTGTGTGGATATGCGCACAAGTAGATCACTGTGTTTGTCGCGAGCCAGAGGCTTTTCAATTGTGAGCGTTTTGTGCCTGTGGTAGCAAAAGGCTACAAGCTCACGTTACTTCGGTTGTTCCTCAAGGTAATCTTGGAACTGTACTCTTTACTGTTTTTATAATTGATCTGCTAGATCACATGCCCATGTACTCATGTGTGCGGACGATGTAAAACTTATTCTATATTAGACTAATCCCCTACATCATTCTCGTCTACAAGACGATTTGAACGCTATGCAACGTTGGTGTTTGGCCAAACAATTGCATCTAAATTGTTCAAAGTGTATGTTTATGACATTTAATCTTACTACAACGTATCTTGTCAGTTATATAATCGACAATACCCCTTTGTAACATATACTAACAGTCAAGGATCAGGCGTTCTTTTTGATTTAAAACTCTGTTTCAATCTTTACATCATATCACATCGTTAATGAGGCAAAAGGTGTACTTGGATTCATTAAACGATGGTCTAAATAGATCCTTTTATAATGAATCTTCTCTACAGCTCTCTTGTTCGCCCCATCCTTGAATACTGCTCATGCATCTAGTTTCCGCAGTATAATAATGACCAGGATCGTATTGAATCTGTTCAGAAGCAATTTCTGCTTTCTGCCTTACGAGATTTGTATTTGTATCCTAATCTTCGGTGTCCATCCTACTCCAGCAGGCTGCTTCTTCTTAACCTTCCGTCGTTAACCAACCTTCTATATAAGTTGATTATTGGCGACATGGATTCTTTTTTTCTGCTAGACCAACCAGAAATCCTCGCCCCGTATTCCTATATACATACGTGCACAGCTGACTACGCTATAAACAATCCTTTTCGCGTGCTATGTAATAATTATAATAGTTTGAATCACGTTTTCTCTACCGAACTTTCTCTACCCCTAATAAAATCGTTGATTTCAGGATACCTTCGGGAAGTCACTGAGCATTCCCAGCTATGAGCAGGGGCATAGCTTGCCGGACAGGCTATTAATTTTTCGGTGATTTTCAATTACTTTTCTCTTTGTCCTATCTACTTAACACTCTCTATATCTAACTTACATTTCCAAACTTTATTAACAATCTTCTTACTTTATTTTTCCTATTTATTGTATTTTCTTAATTTATATAGCAAATTAAGATTATTTTTAATTTTACTTAAGCACACTTTTTTCTACTTAGATGTAGACTCTACCAGCGTCACTGAAAATTAGCTGTGAAAAGGGGCGGAGCTGGCCGGACTGGCAAATAAAACATCTCCATCGGTCGGTGATGCTATTTAGAAAATTGTGTTCTTTAACTGGGCTTTTAGCATATAATTATATTATATATTATATAATCTATATATATAATCTATTGAATAATGAAGAAGACACTCGTTTTGTCGACCATTAATAAAATAAAATAAATAAAAATTGAAATCATGTTATTTGCAGATAACTATCCAAACTTTGAGCCGCGTTTGGAACTTGATGGGCGCTTAGTAGCAGTAGATCACATATATGTGTACACACTTCTAACGCACTATACCTGCGTTCAGAGTCCTAGCGAATATTTTCAAAATATTTGCACAAATTTACCATACAATATTCAGCAATACATAGCTGAATTTTTCCAACAGACTATAAAAAGCCACAGATGACTCGTAATCATTTGCACGAGATCATTGTCAGTATTCCCGTGTCCGTCCAAAATAATAGTAATGAAAATTATTCTATGATAGTCAGCAATACCATAGACTTGGCTTGGAGAGTGCGAACGAATCTTGTGATGTCAACGGCTGTTAATCGGGAGCTGATTACATCATCGCTGTTGTAAAAATATACTAAAAGCGTGCTGATCGATTTTGTTAATAATCTTAAGATTTTATCGGTAAAAAAAAAAACAATTTAATCGTCTTCATGTGGTTTTCGGGGCCTTTATTCATGAATAAAGATTTATAACGAATGGTAGGAACCTAATTAATCAACCCCTTGGGTTACCCATATTATAAGCTGAAATTCAAAATCAACTTAATGTAAGCAGTATATAATTACTTTTTTTGGCGATTCTGCATTTAAATGTATTTGGTTATGTGCTTAAATACACAAATAAATACATTTAAAAGTGAGCGATTCCTTTCGATAACCAGTACCAAAATTCGACGCTAAGTCACCGCCGCTAATTTGACGCACGTAATAGCAACAACACATGTTGTTTGGTTAGTGGTAATAGGCAGACAGACATTGTCACAAATATCGATAGGCGAAAAGAAAAAACTCACCTTATGTGTAGAATAAAACAAGTAAAAAGTGATATTTATTCGTACTTACAATTTTAGAGTTGGTAGCAATGTTCTGCTGCTACTTTGCTGCTTGAACAAGGAATTCCCTTTTCTTATTCCACGAACCACACCAGCTTAACACAATAGACAGCAACGTTACACGCAGAATACCTTGCAATCCACTTGCTTATTTTTTGCTGTTGCCCAAAATTGAAAGACATTTATTGGTAGGGCCATATAAACCAACACACACGTCTAGTTTTCATGCGCACAAATGCATACAAATAATCTATGTGAATTGAGAAGTCATAGCTTGAACACCCAATGGTCAGCGCAGAAACTCCAGAATATATTTAATAACAACAATAAATTATTAAAATTATCTTTGCTATACGTTTTGTTGTGGGCTATAGCTTATCATCTAAGCAACTGCACGCTTCTAACATATTGTTGTTGCTTGTGATTCCTCGCGATGTTAACGCATCGTGTTCATAAGCCCTTTTTTATTGCGGGCAACAATAGCATGAGTATATGTTTACTTTTAGTTTCCTATGCCATTAACTTCTTTTTGAAACATCCAGGAGATAAAGACAGACGAAGAAAACAAAACGGGGTTTCCTTCGCACTATTGTTCTTTTGCAGGTGATGTGACGCGGCTTCCTATGATTAATTTGCGATTGATTTTGGATGTGGTTGCAAACGCAGTGCCAGTAAATACGTTTATTAACGATTTACCGTGCAATGATGTATCGTTGTTCCAGAAACATCGATATATCGCACAATTGCGAAGCCTTCTAATCTTCGATTCCACCATCGATATTTTTGCAGCGCGCCCATTTTGTGAGCGTCTGCAATCTTCTAATAACACTTTAACCTGGGATGAATTATATACGCATGTGAGTGGACGTAAATATAAAATATTTAAATTAAAAAAAAAAAACAAGATAACTTATTCAAAATGGTTGCCATGTTCTTTAAATAGCGAATAATAAGGAAGACGAACATTATAGTATATTTGATTTCACAGACAACCGACGCTGGTCTGATTTTCCCCGTCGTTTATGTTTATTTGTTTTTGTTTTGTCTAAAATTGGCTAACAATGGAAATACGTGTCTGGAAAACTATCCTATTACAGTGGGTAAGTTTTTATAGCTTTGCCTACGATCGTTATTAACTAAGTAATATATTCATACACTAATGCTTAAATCTAAATGAACTCCAGGTGGAAAAATGCAATTTCATAGAAAATATTACAAGTCTAGAAAATTCCGATATAGAGGCTTTCTTTGCCTTTTATGCACAGTATGCTCAAGTTAAGCTACCGGCGTCGCCTTCAAGCGTCACAATTCCTCTGGAACTACTTCAAACTTTTCTTAGAGGTATAGGCAGTTGAAGATTATCCTATTTTTGTTTTTATTGATATCATGTTATTTGCAGATAACTATCCAAACTTTGAGCCGCGTTTGGAACTTGATGGTCATATAGTAGCAGCAGATTACATATATGTGTACACACTTCTAATGCACTACACCTGCGTTCAGAGTCCTAGCGAATATTTTCAAAATATTTGTACAAATTTACCATACAATATTCAGCAATACATAGCTGAATTTTTCCAACAGACTATAAAAAAGCCACAGATGACTCGTGATCATTTGCACGAGACCATTGTCAGTATTCCCCTGTCCGTCCAAAATAAATGTAATGGAAATAATTCTATGATAGACAGCAACACCATGGATTCGGCTTCACTCGATGCTGATGCGAGTGCGAGTACGAATCCTGTGACGCCAAAGCCTGTGAAGCGGGAGCTGATTAACTTACCAGGTGTCAGCCAAATGCCAGCCCCGCCCACCCCTAAAACTGAGCTTCTCGAACAGTGTACGCGTGAGCTGTTGGGATTACGTGTAAGAGGCTGTGTAAAGGTATACATAATCCATATTAATTCAATTTAATTAACTAACAGGCTCAGTTGGAAACCGAACGGTATGAAAAGGCGGTTCTTGAGGAACAAATTTTAGAAAATGAACATCTGATAGATTCGCTGACTAAAGGTATAAGTTTTGAAAATATTTATTTTGTAATTTAAGCAATAATTTTCATTGCATTTTTCTTTACAAAGAGAATTTAATGAAAAAGAAGCAACTGACCAAATTTACGGCCACCCTTCAGGACGAAAACGACAATGAGAACACTTACATGCATAGCTATGTACCCAATGAATTTGAAAATGTATGTAATATCCTTAATTAGAGTTTTAATTAACGACCTGCTGCCTCCCTAAACCATATATTAATATTTGTTCACGTCTACCTGATTTACAGTTAAAAAAACAACTGCTCAAGAAGCTTAGCAACAAGGATACAGTCCTTGCCAAAAAAAACGAAGAGATGCATGAGCTGATATGCAAACATGGCAAGCTGGCTTCCAAGGTACGTACAAAAACCACTAAATTGGCTTCTTGGCAGATAAACTTTAAATAAGTATCTGATGTAACGTATATGACCAGAAGATAACTTATACCCAACGGCGAGCTGCCGTAACATTCATTCATTTTACACATTTAAGCAGCATTATGCAATCTTATCTTAAAGTCGTGGAAACGAGGTTTTCAAAGTTGAAATATATTAAATATGTATACTCAACGAGAACTCACCCAAATATCTCATTTGATGACTCTATAATTTCAAATCTAGATTATATGTTTTAAAGGCGCGTTCATCCAGAATGGCAGGGTTAGATAGATTTAGCAGATCAAGAATATACACATATATGTTATAGAGTCGAATATGCTTCCATTTGTTTATACACTGAACTCATCGAAAATGGATAAAAAGGGTTTTTTATGTTTTTGTCCAAATATATTTAACAGGCTGAGGATCTCCGACCCCTTTAAAAATATGTACGTTAATGATGAGCTTCATTAGGCGAGTCGATCTACCCATTATAAGATTCTTGTTCTACGCAAAACTATTTATTTTCAAGACTGTTTGGGATGCTATGAATTACCGAGGATTTTCGAATGACAATATTGTAGCAATTGTATTGTTATCGTATATCACGTACTCACGTTCTTGCGTTTTTGTATAATTACCACCAACTAGCAAATATAAAAAGCCGCTCAATTCGCCACCACGCATTAACAAAACACCCCTCCCCTACCCAAGCTAATATAAATAAATATTATTTAGTGAAATTGTTGACTGGTTGTGGTCAAATTAACAAACTGAGTAAACGCTGGCTAAGAAGCTTATTATTGCTCTCTTTCCTCATATTAATTTGTATTATTTGAATAGAATACATATATATATTTAGTACCTTTCATTTTATAGCAACTGCCAACACCATAAAGCTATGACTCCAATAAATAAACCTATTTAAGCTTCCACATTTAAATCACAATTAGAATGCGATTGTGGGAATATGCAATTATTTTATAAAACAATAATGTCTTCTGTTGAAAATTTAGGATCGGTTAAGAAAAACAGAAGTTATTGAAGAAAATGTGTTTACGGCATTTAACGCATGGGTTTGTTGGACTTCCATCAACAGCATTGTAATAGCGATTGTATTGAATTTAGTGCTGTGTATATGTGCTGCTATGTATTTCAATTCGTTTGTTTATGATATTTCGTTTTATTTGAGATTTTTTTTTTTTAACATATCTAACAATTTAATAAAAATACACCAAATTCGTTATGTAGGCTCTTATAAATGATTACACAATTTATTGAATTTATACCATCAATTATACCAGTCGATATAGCGATGCTATCTATCATTAAAATCCTTGCGTTCATAAGTACGGACGAACAGATTATCATAGCTAGATCGACTATTGATGCTGGTTGATAAAGAATGCTTACTTCTGTCTGGGGGGCTCTTAAGTTATTTTTAGATTGTTGTTAATTATTTATTTAGTAACTAATGCTGGTAGCTTTCAGGGTATCTTCAAATAATATTACCTATAATAAATAAAATCGGAAAAATTGAAACATAAAGACAATGTAAATTAATTAGCTTTAAAGAAAGAATTATTTAAGCTTATGTTTAGTTCAGTTGGAAGATTGTTATAAAGCTTTAATAATATATTCATAGGCTCGTTGCTTGCATAAGGCACATTAAAGTTAATCCGTGCTAGAAGGGGCAGGCAGTAAATAATTCCCACAAACAATTGTTTAAAAAAAGCAGCGCTGCTATCATCTTCTATCATCCAGAGATGATTACTGTAATAATCGACACCTAGCTCTGTAAGGCGGTAAGGGTTCTGCAAAGATTAGGCATTGTAAATTAAATTTTAAAAACTGTTTTTGCAGCCGTTTTGTCATAGGGACGTCCTACCATTAAAATTGAAATTGGCTTACACAACACACGAGTTTTTTCTAAACCATCGTCCGTAAACTTTTTTTTTCCAATTTTATCCTAAAATAAATGATATTGCAGGTTTTTCTTAATGGATATGTCAACAAATAACTATACAGCTTGCTCACTTCATTCACCGATGTGTTTGATAAACTTTGATTTAAGCCAAGAACCAAGCATTTTAGCCGGGCCCATCTAGCTAAAAACGATTAAGGAGGAACATGCAGATCGGTTCGATTAAATTCCAACAATCTATCTATGATCTACAATTTTCTTTTGCCCTTCGCCATTTTTTATTTTTTTAAACAACATTTCACAAACTGAATTTGAAATGTTAGATAAAAATAGTTTCCTATCAGGTATTGCAAATATAATTTTTATGTTCTCTGCTTTCTTTTTATACCTATGCAGAGGGTATTATAATTTTGATGGAGAAGGAGATATCTTCGACCCCATAACTTATACATAAAAGTATAGCCATGTGTGTCTGTTTCTATGCGAACTCTCAGTTTTAAAGCTATCGCTACAAAACTACAAAAAAAAATGTATTTTGTACGCAGTACACATGTAGAAACCAGCTTGATCGGATCGCTATAGTATATCATGTTGCTGCCATAGAAGCGATCTGTCGAGAAGTAGGTTCATGCATCAACAACATTTTTATACCCTGAACCCATTAAAAATGGGTATAAGGGTATATTGTATTTGTGCAAAATCCAAATGTATGTAACAGGCAGAAGGAAGTATCTTCGACCCCATAAAGGATATATATTCTTGATCAGCATCAATAGCCGAGTCGATCTAGCCATGCCCGTCTGTCTGACCGTCCGTCCGTCCGTCCGTACGTATGAACGCAAGGATCTCAGAACCTACAGGAGCTAGAGACTTGAAAGTAGATGTAGGTGCTCCTAGTTCCTGCGCAGATTGAGTTTGTTTCCGTTAATCGATAACTTACTCCGTTTCCAGAAAATCGATAAAAAAAAAAACGATATCGATATCCTGTTTTTTGGGCAATTTTGGTAAATAATAAGAGCTAGAGTCACCAAACTTGACATATAGCTTCTAAAATAGAATATATTTATGCATTTGATGTTGGAAGAAGAGGGTTCAGGGTATTCCCTAGTCGGGAGCTCCCGACTAGAACCTCCTGTTGTTTGTCTATTTTGGCCAAATTCGCCATTTATTAATTTTACTGTGCTCAAACTCTGTATGCAAAATTCAATCAACATAGGGCAAAATCCATATTTGCCATTGGAACGATCGGCTGAAAATTAAGTTGTATGAAAAACATTTTTGTTTATCAAGATATCTTGACCATACTCGGCATTAACTATTTTCCCTGTGCCTTTTAGATACGGGCTTTTTAGACACGTATTAAATCTTCGGCGTGCCAAAGATAGCCCTTCGTTCTCGTTTTTTATAATTTGTTTAGGCTTACTTTCATTAAACTTGTTTATCGCAGATAAACGCTTTGTCAATTGTTGTATTGCTAGTTAATTCACATTTAGCAATCCATTGGCGACCAACGCAATAATTTTAAGGAATCTTGAACAATTTCACAGCATCCCCGTCCCCAATAGCTTCAGAAGCATGATTTAACAATACGCTTGCATCCACTTTTTATTTTATCCTTCATTGTTTTGGGTTATTAAATGTTAGATTAATCGCTTAACAAAGTTGAAGGCCTCCCGATTACGTAGTCTAGTGTCAGCTAATGACACGCCTGTCCATTCAACACGAGCAGAGGCCAATATCTGCAGTTTTTTACAACCTTTTACCAAAACCCATACAATAGATACGTCGAACTGCAAAATAATCGAAACAAGAATATTTTATACGAGTGAGCCCCCATGATTGCTTGCGACCATTTTGTTATGCCCAGAGAGAGTAAGACTGCTGAGAGTGGCGGCCGAACGCCAGCCTCCAGAGCCGAGCGGTGCTTTTTCTTAATATATGTACATATGTTAGTTTTAAATCCTTACAGTCCAAGCACATACGTTTATATGCATGTGCAGATTGCCTCGCTTTTTGCGCAGTTGTGTGCATTTCATTCTCCCTGCCAGTCCGATGCAAATTTCATCGCAAATTTTTGTGATTTCTGAAGTCCGAGGTCTACACACACAAATATGTGTAAATGAGTAGATCGTGGGTGTAGAGCTCGAAATTCAGATGCCAAAAACTTCACATAGAAAATTGTGTAGGTGTAAGTGCTTGGCCGGCCCATAAATTTCCATGCACACATGTCGACAAACCGACGATCAATTACCCTTGCAGAAATACAACGATTTTCTTTATTTTAAGTAAGATAGGTCCACACAGTAAACAAAACAAAAATGACAACAAAAAATATAAATATTTCACTTATGTCATTTAAAGTTTTCATTAAATAACAAGAGGTTATAGTCGGGAGCTCCCGAAGAGGGGAGGGGGGGTGGGGATTTGAAGTACCCTAGTAGTTATAAGATAAATAACAAAAAAATGCCGTTGGAAGGGTTCGAACTCGCAACTGACAGCATTATTTCCTGCCGCCTCTACTCAACAGCCACTCCACACCTCGATAGGGTTAAACTCGCAACAGACCGCGTTACTTGTCGCCACCTCTACCCAACAACCACACCAAATTTTAACTCTTAATGAAAAAAAATACAAATTAAAGTAGCAGCACAGAAAACAATATCGCAATTGCAATGCTGTTGATAGAATTCGCGGCAGACGCGCATGAATGTGTGGGTACATGTATACAGAAATACTTGGAATTTGCGTTAGCTACTGCAGACACATGGAAAACACATTTCCTTTTAATGAAATTTTAAACAGTACTTTTACTGTACTATAAAATATTTGTGTATTATCAAAACGACAATCGCATTAATATTGCAGCTTATGTTGGTGTGCAATATTGATTTTTTTCGATTACTTGGAAACGGGGCAAGTTATCGATTGTCGGAAATAAACGAGGGGCAGTTGCCGAACAGAATGTGTAGCATACGTTCGTATCCATATAAAAATGAGCGACAACCGCTGCTTCCTGGTGTGTGTTGCCTGTTGCCAGCTTTGTATTCACGTATGCGCCGCAGGCCCACCCATGCCAAAAAACCAAAGAACAAAATAGTCTATGGAATCATAACGAGCCTTATCGACATTGGGCACTGGGCGAGCGTTTCTCCTAGTCGGGCACCCCCGACTATGTCACTCTTGTTTGTTTTTATTTTGTTTGAAATATTTGTTGGAATTCCTTCTCTTATGACTTTTTTATCCACAGCTTAAAATTTCAGAGGAGCAGGTGCTTTTTTGTATAGACCGAATAAACGACCTGGAGCTAAAATTAGAGAAAATGGCGCAGTTATTGACCGACAAAGAAGATAAAATTGCTTGTCTACAGCGTGACAAATTGGAGCTGCAGCAGTGTCTGCAAGAGACACGTGCCGAGCTACATAATGGTCGTGAAGTTCTCAACGCCTCCTTGGATTTCCTGGAAACTTCGCAGTCGGCCGATAGCATGAATACGACACCCGAAAATTTGGCTTGCTCCGTTATAGATAAGCAATTGCGTGAAAAAGAAGAGGAAAATGACGAGCTGCGTAAGCTTTTAACAGCCATCGTGGAAGAAAAATCAAATTTACTAAGAAAACTGTTAAATATCATGATACCCTTTCAAATGGAGATGCCATCGGTACCTGATGTTTCACAACTCGCGTGCTTAAATGAGCCAAATGTAGACCAGTTGTCCGTTCGCTATGAGCAAGAGCTGCAACGTGTAAGAGAACTGCAGGTTCAGTACTACACACTGAAGCAGCAAAATATGCAGTATGAAGAGTACATTCAAGAGCAAATAAAAAAAAAAGCGGAAAAATTTGATCGCGTGTTAGAAGAGACTCAGTTATCTCTGCTATCTAGTATTGACAAGCTGCAGAAACGCGACAAGGAAATTGGGGACTTTGCCAACATTTACCAGGAACTTGAAAAAAAGGATGAGCAACTCGCGCAGATGGGCTGCGAATTAATTCAACGGTGCAGTCAAACTCGTATCCTAGAAGAACAAATCGACGGCGAAAGAGAATACTCATTCAGTCTACAACCCAACATAAACTCGCAACAAGTGATCATTCATTCTCAGAATGATCAATTATTTGAGCAGCGACAGCATCTAAGCGACATTAAAGAGCAGCTACAGTACTTAATAGACATGGTAGGCGCTAATTTTAATCAGAATACAACTTCATCCGCTACCACCGAAAACCGCCTGGTATATATGAAAAATATGTTGATATGTTTGCTGACGAGAATATGCAACCAGGATAAGCATAAGAAGCCCGAAAATTTGCTGAATCAACACTGCCGCTTACAAACCAGCAGGTATCAAATGAATGTGTCGATTCAAAATCTTCCCAAGCAACAGCATAATGCTGCAAATAAAAATCAACTTCAGCTTGAGCAAGAACTAAAAACTATAACTGAAAAAGCAAAGCTGCAGAGTATAGATCAAACGCAGCTGATCCAACAACTGGAAGATGAGCGACTTGAACTTTGCAGTCAGAAGCTAGAGAAAGCACACGTTGAACAGGAGCTGATGGCTTCCAATAAGAAGCAAAAACAGCTAGAACAGAAAATAATTGAACAAACAGAGCTGCTGCAAAAGGGCGAGTCCACTACCCAGTCGCATCAAGATCAGATTATACTACAAAGACAGCAGTTAGACAAACAGCAACGGGAACTTAATGCTTTGCAGTATAAGCTGGAACTAGCGGAACAGCAGGTAAAAACGGCTGAGGCACAGTTGCAGAAGCAAGAATCCTTGTTAATACATATCAACAAACTACAGGATGCGATTAAGGAAGCACAGCATGCAAATTTGAGTTTAAAACAAGAGCAAATACAGCAAACGGAGCACACACGGATTGTAGAAAACGATTTTAATGCGATTCAATACACGCTTGAAAAAAGGGAAGAGGAATTAGAGAAGAACAAAGTACAGCTGGATTCAAGTACAAAGCGCTTGGAGAAAGTTGCCATTAAACTAGGGGAGCACCAAGCACTTTTATCTAAAGCGCAACGCGAAATAAATCAGTTCAAACTGGCACAAAAAGAACAAGCAGAGCTTATCAAAGCGTTGCAACATGACAAGGAGAGTCTGCTGTTGGAATTGCAAAAGAACAAGGAGCGTGTAAATCATTCAGAGAAGACGCAGACTAGCTTGGCATATAAACGTGATTTTGCGGAGGCAGCACAGATTGCAACTTACGGACGGACTATAAAGCCCGAGAGAGATTGTAAAGAAACAAACAGCACCATAATACAGGATTTACAGCAGCAGGTGAATGACATCGAGAAGGAAAAAGTGAGCTTGATTCTTGAAGTTGGCGGCCTCAACTCGGAGATTGTGCAGCATCAAAAACGCATAGCAGATTTGAGTGCTCAATTACAACAAGCAAACGAGTCAATTGATGCAATGCGTAGCTCAACGCAAGCCAGAGAAAACAACGCTTGCAATGCTCAAGAGCTGGAGCTAATAAGACGTACATATAAAGAGCAGTTGACTACAGTAGAGGCGCAGCTGGCGGAAGCGCTGCAGGAACTCGACCGGACACGGCTCCTTTATGAATCGATACAGTATCAACCAAATTATAAGATAAAGCAACCTAAATTAGAGAGCAAGAAACTTAATATACCAAGAGATGAGCCAGAAAACAGCAATGATACAGTTAGCGATTCACATAGAAGCCAGGATAAGCTGATAGAAACTTTGGAGAGCTATAATTCTATCCAGCCACAAATGCAGGAAATGCAGGAACAACTTGAGCAGCACCGAGCTAAAGCACACCAGCGTGAGATCGATTGTCAGATATTGCAGGCAAAGTATCGCGAAACAAAGGAAGAAATAAATCACTGTGAGCAAAAGCTTAAGGATCAGCGTCTTGAGATGGAGGGGAAATTAGAAAAGATGAAAACAAAAATGGTAAGTGAACTTTAAGTGCATTATTTATTATTTATTCCCGTCCGTTGCCTAACAGCACTTGCATGCAATTGACTTTATCCTAATAGCTAACGTGTATTATATGGCAGTAATTATATCAGTAATTGAACTGAACCCATTAAAAATGGTGGGGTATTATATATTTGTGTAAATGCATGTAACAGGCAAAAGAAAGTATCTCCGACCCCATAAATTATATATCTTCAGCATCAATAGATGTGTCGATCTAGCCATGTCCGTTTGTCCGAATATATGAACGCAAGGATCTCAGAATCTATGAGCCAAAAATTTGGAACGTAGGTCCTTGAAGTGCCCGCGCATTACGAGTTTGTTTCTGATAATCCATAGCGTGTCCCGTTGCTAAGTAATCGATAAAAATCTATATAGGAAATATATATCAAGTGTCTTTTATTTCATAGCAATTGCCACCTCCCCGCTACCACCACATTGCTATACATCAATATAATGTATTGCCCACCAATTGAAACCACGATTTTGCAATTGACCTTTTGAGAATGTACAAATATTCTCCAGCACAATAAGATCTACTGTTTAGAATTTCATTAAGATCAGCTAAGAAACAGAAGTTATTAAATGAAACGCTTGGTTAAATATATATATATTGGCAGCCTAAGTGTCAGCGGCAGCTAGTTGTTGGTTTAGCTGGTGAGTAGAGGTGGCGGCAATCCTACACAAACATATCCCACATTTTTACGCGATCGTTCGTTTTTAAAAAAAAAATAAAACCAGTTCCCCCTGCCTGCTTAAATTTGCGATCGCTTCATACAGCCATACTAAAAACTTAATGGAAAACAAATTATCCACAAAGTAAACCAAATACAGCACATACATTCAGCACATCATACAATACAATTGAAATTGTAATTTTATGTATAAACTTCTGAATGTGTGTGACACATGTATACACAAAGTATTTCACTTTGTGAAAGCTACCACGTGATTTGGCAACGGTTTCTTTAATAACTTCGATGTTTGTTGATCAAAGCAATAATGGAATATTTGCAAAAGACAACTGCCTAAATACAAATTAAAATTGTATGCATCCAATTGGAATTTGTATTAATTTGGTTCATAGGGATGAGGCGATAGCAAAAAATCAAATATACTTGCTCTGTATATACTATACGCAAAATTACATATCAATTTGGTGACTCTAGCTCTTATCAAAAAACCTTAGATGTCCAGCTCTTCTGTACCACATATATTATATATTGTAATATAATAATTTGTAAAATTCGAAGCGTGGTGGTGAATACCAAAATATTATATTGAATAAGGGATACAGCGTGTTTACTTCTTCTGTTCTGCTGTATGTGTTTGTGTTACTAGTGCCTCTTCTAATGTTTTTGCAATCATTAACAGAGATTTTTATGTGATGTTTCCTCTGTTTTTCTACTCATATGTATTAAATAACCAAATAAGTTAATTAATTTGATTTTAACCATATGGAATTTAAAACAAGTTTTCTTTTGATTCCTCTTCTTTTCATACACTACCAACTATATCACCTACTTTCTTTACCGCTTACTTCGCATACTTACGTGGTCAACAAACACAAATTCCTAAAAATACAAGTCAAACAGTCTTCTACCGTTAGATTTGCATAAGCAAAGAAAATATGAGAAACCCACACAAACACATACAAATGAAAAGTTCATTTCTCCAGAAGGAACTACTAGTTTGCGTACTGTTGGGCACTGTTCCATTATATTTCTTAAATTATTAATCATGTTGGTGCTGTTCCTAGGGGCAATCTATATAACACTTTTGAGCAACAATGTTGTTATTAATTTAATATCTCGAAAACCAATAGAATTTTAAGTGAAAAAGCGCTAGAGCCAATTTTCTTTTAACTGTTAATCGAATGTTTGCGTATTTTTATGGCTTAAATATTTTATTATAATGCACAAAAATCAAGCGTGAGAAATTGGTGCTTAATAAATTTATAAATTACAATGTTAGTGTTGTGATAAGATGACGTTTACGATGTTAGTATTGTTTTCGTGTACTTTTGTGTTCGATGTGGTTTGCTCTTTGCTTTTACTTATGACACGCTTTTTCCCTCTTACTGCTCACCACTAACCCTACTCTGCTGTTATGTCCCAATCCACGTAACCTGAAACATATAGCGCGCATTGTACACGGCTGAGGTTACCCGAATTAAGGAGAAACAGGAACGCGATGCGGCCACTAATAAGCTTAAAATGGAAAAATTCAGTGTTCAGGTAAGAGGCATATAATTTAACAAACCGAGTGTATAAAACAGTCTAAAGTTAGTATATATCTATAAATATACAAAATAATATGTTTGGTCCGACACTAATTGATCAGGCTGTAAGAAAAGCTTAATTTTAAAGTGCCGAATTTTTAAATGAATGCTATTTACTTTACAGAGTGCTAAGTATGAGGAACATACTCAAAAGCTATCTAATCAGATTGTGCGCCTTAATGAAAAGATTTTAGAGCAGCAAAAGCAGCTTACCATTTTCAGTACCAAACTACGACACCGTCAGGAAGCCGACCAGGCAACGACTGCTTTTGCGGCAAGTGATGAATGGCAACCCTTTAAGCGACCTCGTGTGCCACCTACCGATCTTGGCAGCAATCTAACAATGGAAGATGAAGAAGGTGAGGTGTTTAATAACACCTACCTTACAGATCTGAAGCTGGGTAGTGTGCCAAACATGATGTACGTTAAATACATAATTATAAAAAATTAATGACCACTAATATTTGCGAAATTTGCTTTCACTTTAAGGGCTAAAGAATTGCATCATCGCAATTCGTTACAACCACCACATTTAAAGAGCGCCTACGCAGCGCAGTATAACTTGGACGCCCATGATGACGATCTAAAAGTAAGTATTGACATCAATGAACACCAACACCAAGCGCCAAGTGCTATGCATCTTGTACCCTGAACCTATTGAACATAGGTAAAATGATTGTAATGGTTTTGTTCAAATGTATTTATAAGGAATTTATGATCCTTGAAGAGTATATATTCTTGTTCAGCGACCAGCCGAATCAAATGAACATGGTTTGCATGATTTCAGAAACTAAAGGAGCTCTGCACCTACAAATTTAAAGTATTTATTTGCCTTTATTATACGCTGGGGTATATGTTCTAGATCAATAAACGATATATTAAACCATGCTTGACGGTATGAACGAGTCGATCTCAAAAGCGTTAAAAGCTACACTTTGAATTTTAAACGAATGTTGACCTTTTTCATATAAAAGGGTGTAATGTATTTGTACAAATGTATTTAACAGGCAGAAGGGAGCATCTCTGACCCCTTAAAGTATATATATCCTTGATCAGCATCTACAACCGATCGAGCCATATGTGTCTGGCCGCCGTCTGTCCATGTGTATGACCGCGTCGATCGCTAAACCTTTAAGAGCTAAAGACTTGAATGTATGTCCTCCTAGAGGCCGCACAGTCATCAATATCAAAATTCTGTTTTTGGGCAAATCTCTTAGGATTGTAAAGCTAGATACTAAATTTAGCATGTAGCTACTTCAATAGTTTATATATATCCAATATCTTTTAAAGCTGGCTCTACCTGCCCGCTACCACAATAAGGCTACAAATTAAATAAATAAACTAATTTGAACTGCCCACTAACTTAAACCACAATTTTAATACAATTGACTTTATGAGAATGTAAAAATTTTATAGCACAAAAGGATCTACTGTTGAGAATTTCACCAAGATGGGTTAAGAAATACAGATGTTCTTAAAAAACGTGAAAATCGTAGCTGGCCACGAGCTAGAGGCAGCTAGCGCGAATTGCAAAAATTTCTGAGTACATGTACACACATTAATGCGTGTTTTTATTGAATTCTATCAACAGCATTGCAATTGCGGTTGCATTGTGCTCCGAGCTATGTTTATATATTGCTATTTTAATTCGTTTCTTATTCGAATCGAATTGTTGATTTGGCTGTTGAGTAGAGGAGGTTGAAAGTAGTGCAGTTGTTTCAGGTCCAAGTCCGTTCGGGGGACTTGGCTTTTCTATTTCATATTATTTATACCCTGAACCCATTGAAAATGGGAAAAAAAGGGTACATTGTTTTCTTGTTAATGTAAATGTATATAACAGGCAGAAGGAAGCATCTCCGATTCATAAACCCCATACATTCATGATCAGCATCAATAGCCGAGTCGATCTAGTCATGTCCGTCTGTCCGTATATATGAACGCAAAGATATCAGAACCTATAACAGCTAGAGACTTGAAATTTTAGCTGTAGGTCCTCCTAGTGCCTGCGCATTCCGATATTCGAGAACATGCCCGTCTCCAAGTAATCGATAAAAATCGATATCAAAATCCTGTTTTTTGGGCAATTTTGGTAAATAATAGAAGCTAAAGTCACCAAATTGATATGTTGCTTCTAGAATATTATGTATATATCAAGTGGATTTCATTTTATACCTATCGCCACCTCCCCACTGCCACCGCAGAGCTATCAATCAAGTAAATAACCCAACTTATATTGCCCACCAATTTAAACCACAATTTTAATGCAAATTACTATTTGAAAATACACAAATATTTTATGGTACAATAAGATATACTGTAGAAAATTGCAATAAGATCGGTTAAGAAAACACTAAATTATGTTTTACTGCGCAATTGTATGCTGCACAAATTCCAATAATTTCTGTATACATGAACACACACACATTTATGCGCGTCTGCTTGGGATTCTATGAGCAGCATAGCAATTGCAATTGTTTTCTGTGATGCTATTTTAATTGGCTTTATTTTTCTCAACAATAATTAGTTATTTGTGTGGCTGTTGAGTAGAATTGTCAACAGGTAATGCGGTCAGTTGCGAGTTTGAACCACCCTGCCCAGACAACTTTTTTTTATAATCTATCTATATTAGTTCAAACGAGCGCGTTGCGCGAACTGCATTTGCTGTTGGAAGAAGAGGTTTCAGGGTATTCGCGAGTCGGGAGCTCCCGACTAGAACCTCTTGCTTGTTTTTTGCTAGACTCAGTGTAACCCCTAGTCGGGAACTGCCGACTAGATCCTCTTTACTAGATTTCTTTTTAAATCACTAATAACTTTCCCCGTTTTTGTATAATATATAAATATTGATTTCGATATTTCGATTATTGAACATATCTTGGAGTTGTTAAGGCTAAATGCTACAAATTTAACTCTCGTATACAGAGATCCCGAGTATTTCAGTTCTTTGATGGCAACTTAGCGCTTGGTCCAGGGTATCTCCTACTCGGATCCTGCCGAGAAGATTACTCTTATTTGTTATGGGTTGTATTTGTCGTTTTTCTTGTTTGTACAGTGTTTATTCATTATTTGTTAAATTTCGATTATTACAATGTTTGTAACCTTCGACAGAACGGTCCACTTAGCCTAGATGACAGCATGAGTGCATTATTAAGTACTACGGAGGGCAACGGTGTCGGAATGCGTAAAAAGTCGATGGGTACTCACTACAAGCGCCCGGGTCCGCCAACACCCAGTAAAAATGGTGGTCGCTTGTCGTTTGGCAGTATGGAACCGCCGCGGGAAATATTACGAGAGACTTCTGACAACAATGGCTTTGCTAAGACCCCCGCCCGCTTCAAGATCTTTGCATCACGTTTTAGCATTGGTTCCAGTGGTATCGGTGGCGGGGTACATTGTCTGCCAAGCGTCGAGGTAAAATACAACCGAATCATATTTGTGTTCTTGCCGTCTCTTTTTTTTTTGTTTAGCTTGTAGAGTATTCCCTGTGTTTACTGCCTGCCGTCATGCCTTTTAGCTCCGTCCTCGTTATGTTGTGTACTCGTACCGCAATGACCCATTAAACAAATAATTACTCCTTTTACAGCAACGGCGTCGACGTCAACATAAAAAAAATTTGTTTACAGGTATGCACCGCCGCATTCCGGTGATGCGACCAGCGAAATATTTTTTCCCTGCAACTCCACGTAGGAGCTGCTCCAACTTTAATCACCAGCCAGTGATCGCGCAATGGGATGCGGCATTAAAAGTCCTAGAGCACCAACCGCCGGGAAAGATACAGCATTTTTCTAACACTGCGTTATTAGCCATGAATAGCGGGAAGGACAGTAAGCCGGAAATTTGTCGTAGCCAGTTAGTGACGACAACTAGCTCGACTATCAGTCTAGCATCCGTTAGTCAAATTTTATTAAGTGGATGCAAGCGGACAGACACTGCACGCTCGTCGTTTTGTTTGCATGGTACAACGAGGGAGTTGGAACATAACCGCATGCTGCAGCGAAGCAATATTAAACAAAAACGTGAACGATGTTTTGATGAGTGGAGGCATTTGTCTGATTCACAGTCTAAAGAAAAAGAGGCAAAGGATGGTAATGCACCGTATTGCGCTGGGAAAAATTAATAATAACAATTAAAATGTAACCAGCCACTAGTGAAGGGGCTGGCTGACCATCATGGGGCGCTTAAGCGACAGAATTCGCCGAAACGTGGATTTGTTGCTCCTGTTCACTGACTGCTTTTGCAACAAAGAATAGTTAGAAGATATAAAGTAACTTGGCAGCAGGCAGCGCGTCTCAAAACAACACATCAAATAATTTTCAAAATTAAAGATTGATTTAAACTAATTTTTATAATACAAACAATCAACTTCCGTTGTCCTTTTTCAGAACTCGCCTCCCAAGCGACGCCTCAGTAACATGTTTAAACGCAAGTAGGTGTGTTTAACTCCAATATACCAGCGGCCATTGATACCTTGTGTATTTTTTTGTATAGTAAGATGTATGTTTGATTGTCTCAGCAGAGTGAAAAGTGCTATAAACGAACGATTAGTGCTGTAACTATTTAATATATAAGTCAATTATTTTCTAATTTCAAAGCTATTTTGGCTTTAAACAATTATATACGGTTTGTCGCAACTGACTTATCTCTTAAGAGTACCTACTTTATTGCAACATATGTTATGAAAGTATTGATGTAATGAATTTCGATAAGCAATGTACTACAATATGAATTTTGTATGTATATATATATTTATTATTTTGTCTATGGCTCAACTCAATTGACTTATCTCTTTAAAGTACCCACTATATTGTAACATATTCAAATATTCTTATGAATTTCGATAAATAATGTTCTAGTATATGAATTTTGTATATATATATTTTGACGGAACAAATGATGCGATAAGCCAACAATTTTTCTATTTTTTTTTTCACGCAACAATAAAGTTATAGATCATCAGATACTCGTATCAATAACGTCTATTGTATAATGTAATGTACACCAGGGAAACCTGCGGTGGCCACAATGGACCGAATTCTAGAAAATTCTTTCTTAAGTGCTAATAACTTCTCAATAAATGTTATAAGTAAAACCTCATTGTCAGGTGATTAGTGGCCTGTTGATCTGATGATCCAGTCTGAGATACATCAAATCGCAATCCATTTATTGATTGAACTTTACTGGCTAAAACATATGAATGGACGTCACTTACGCAGACGGTCTGAATAATTTTAAAATTTTTTTAAATAAAAGTATTTAAAAGCTTAGTAGGAATCTAAATATGTGCTCGTTCCTCTTGAGGCATTCGTTTTAAGACTAAGTTTATAAATCATCAAGCACCACTCTTTCGAACTTAAATAACTGAGTTACATCATTGTTTATGTTTATAGGCTCACAAATAAAATGATTTAACGTTAACCGAACTCAACTTAGGAGACTTAGTAAGTGAAATAAGAATCAAAACAAATTAAATATATCGAGGAAAGGCTCTCATATTTCGAAATATATATTTTATGTATATAAATATATATTCGTTTTAGCTAGACATAGTATTTTTATTTCCTGAACCCATTGCAGAAGGTTTAAAAAGGGTATAATGGTATTGTTCAAATGTATGTAACAGGCGGAAGGCAGTATCTCCGACACCATAAAGTATATGTATTCTCGATCAGTATCACTTGTCGATGGCTAAATCGCCTATAAAAGCTAAAAACATCCAATTTTTAACGTAGGTCCTACTAATAAATCATTTGTTTTTTCGGCAAATATCTTACGAGCCTACGAGCCCAATTATTTTATGCCCTTAAAGAGCATTTTAATTTTTGTATGAAATGTGTAAGGCATAGGAGGAGACATCTAAGACCACATGGAGTATATTTATTCGAATTAGTCTCTTAGCTACCGTTTTCAAACTTTTCACACGTCTTTTTTTTTGTCCGATCCAGCCGAATCACACCACTATATCGTATACCAGAGGAACAATCGGTGCAGAAGTTGACACATTTTTTTGTTTATCATGTTATCTTACCCCTCGGCATTTGCATAATCTTCCTTACAACGAATAGCTATATAATATAACTGCCATAGTAACGATCGGTAGAAAAATAAGTATTTGTATTGAACAATTTTTGTTTATATTAAGATATTTTAATCAAATTCGTATTTCTAAGTTTTGCTATACCCCATACATGTAGTTTCGATCTTACCACATATATATCATATAACTGCTTTAAGAAAGATCGTGGAATAGTTAGACTTTGTATGGCAAAACATACATTTTTCTACGATATTTTCAACAAACTCAGCATTTTCTCGCTGCTCTATTCTCATATATCTTTAAAAGGGAAAGTCAACAAGATTGTGAAATCTTCGACGTGCCGGAAATGACTTCACTTCCTAGTTTAATTAAGTTGTGTTACTTCTAAAACCAGCGAGCTCGCAGCGTAGGCGCTGCATTTGATGTAGAAGAGTGTTCGAAGTATCCCCTTGTCGTGAACTGCCGACTAGAGCCTTTTATTTGTTAAACTCTGAACCAATTAATGGGTATAATTTACTTGTGCAAAGGTGTGTAAACGGGCAAAAGAAAGCATTTCCGACCCCAGAAAATATTTATATACTTGATACAACAATAGTATGAACGCAAGGATCTCAGAACCTATAACAGCTAGAGACTTACAATTTTGAACGCAGGTCCCAGTGCTCATGCAGTAAGAGTTGTTTTCGATAATTGAAACCTTGCCTCGTTTCCAAGCAATTAATAAGAATCGATACCGAAATCCTTATTTTGAGCAAATCAAATTTTAAGAGGTTAGAGTCACCAAACTTAGCTTTTTAAATAGTAGATGCATATATCAAGTATCCTTAATTTTATTGCAATCGACACTCCCGCCACCACCTTATAGCTATAAATTAAATAATTAAGCCAATTTAATTTGAACTACCCACCAATTTAAGCCACAATTTTATTACAATTTAGTTTTTGAGGATGCACATATATTCTATAGCACAAGATCTACTGTTGAACATTTTTTAAAGTTTTTAAATTTATTTTTTTTGGTATTGGTATTGCAATTGGTGTTGGTAGAAGATATATTTATATTTATGTATTTTTAATTATGCTAAAGCAAAAGAGCTCGTAGCGGCTGGAAAAGAGGATTCAGGATATTCTCTGTTCGGGAACAGCCGTCTAACGTCTCTTCCTTGTTTACTCTGCAGGTTGCTGTTTGAACATTTTGGCATGGAATAAACCAACTGTCTAGTCATTTCCACTCTGATATTTTGACATTCTTGTAAACTGGTCTTAAATTTCATTTCGAAATTGTCCGTTTCCTTCCGCAAATTTTTAATTTGGGTTAGATGTGGAGTTTGCGACAGATAGCGCAAGACATATACCGTGTTATATACTTTCCACATTTTCGTGTAAATGTAAAAAGTGGTAAGTTTAGGTTAATGTTTAGGTCAGCGCTCTTGAGGTTATCTTTGAATATGTTCTATTATTATTATATGACAAAATGCAAGTATGATTGAACAAAATTGTATGATTTAAAATAACGGTATACAGCAACACTGTTCTTGCCAATAGCGTTGACAGATGGGTAATAACAAGAAATTAATTCAAGTAAAAACCAAATATGTAAATACTTTTGAGACAGGAGACTGTGCCATGTATTTATTTTCACTATTTAAGTAAAAACTTATTTTGACATATAACGTGTTAACTGAATTGTGTAACAAATTATATAGTATAACAAATTATATATATGATAATAATAGTATATAAGCTGGATGTTACCAAAAGTGCATGCAAAATGAGTGAAAAGTAGAAAATTCTACTGTGCCAATACTTATGTGTGCGTCTGTGTATGTATAGACAGTTATGCATATATGTATGCAGCTTTTCTTTTTTCTTGCTTTGATAATGATCAAGGAATGTTAATTGAGATGGACCGGCTGGCTAATTCAATAAATACATTTTTGGTAACTATTCGACTGTTTTGTACTCTTCTGTACAGTAATAGTATATGTAGGCAATCAGATGCAATTACTTTTGCGGTTTATGGAACGTCAAATATTGAACTTGTTCGGAAAATCAATTAAGCAGAAGGCTTGTTAAGGTGCAAGGTAATTGATTAAATGGTTTTCTGTATTTAATGTTTTGCTTACCGCCAAATACAGTGGAAAACGTCAAACGTGATTATTGCGCCTATGTAAAGAAACCGACACAATCAAATATCTTTATATACGATGGTACCGGTGTTACAGACAGTAGCAGGACCTAGGGTTCTGAAAATGGTTACACTTGTTTGTTTATTTGTTATTGCGCATTGATCAAATCTGCGACTCTAAATTAATTGTATTATTCCATACATGTATGCATGCGTCGTCAGTGAATTTTATTTTCCACTGGTACCTGGTGCCATATCGCCTAGCAGAGTACATGTAAATTCATCGCATTTATGCGAATATCAGTAGTGTTATTTGCAGAAGCACAGTATGCATAATTAAATAATGATAACAGTTTTCACATTTGAACATCGATAGCAACAGTATTCTTTAACCTGTGGTGAAATTATTCTGAATACCGAATTCCGGGGCCAAGGTCTTTTTACTGCAAGATATTAAAATAAAACTGCCGCAGGTTATCAAAGGCATTAAAGGTAACTTAGGCACTTTTAAATTAAGCATTGTTGTTTTTTAAACTAAAAATCTGGTTCCAGTTCTAATCAGGCTTTATGAATCTACATGTTGTTTATATGCATAGGTATGTAAGTGTGTAGATATATTTACTTATTTATTTTGTATCTCCACTGGCAGTATTCAAATCCGAGAACGCCCGAGTTTAATCCGAAGTTTCAGTAGTTGTTGTGCTTAGGCTCGGCCCTCCCGAAGCGCGTGTTGTGCGGAATATATGCATGCCTTACGAAATGGTATTTATATCGTATATACATATATTAAAGCGGTCAAGCGGCGCGGCATGAGACAATAAAAGCACGAACAGATCTGCCGAGTGAATCAGTTTTGTTTTAACCCAGAATTCGCAGTGACCTTATACGTTAATAAGCACACCAAAGCTATCACACTAAATCCTAACATTTCCGGCTAATGCTTGTCTGGAATGAAAATCAGGATACGCACTATCTTGATTTGAATATTAAATTGCGGGAAGCGTTAAAAGACCTGGCAACTGCGTCATTGAATTTTACTTTCATTTTTATTTTTTTGTGTGTGTACATTTTTTTACTTCTGCCTGGTGATAATGCCTGGCAGTGCTGCCAAAAAAGGCTATAAGTTTCAGAGCAGCACCGCGGTGGCTACTCCAATCGGCGGTGTGAAAGACGAGGTGCTCACACAGGATGTGGAATCCCAAAAAATTCATGAGAATGCTTTTGGACCTGCTAAGCAAAGAACAGGCTGGGAGATTAAAGCATCTGCATTGTCCCTCAATACACATAATCGCATTCGTAATATAGTCGAAGCTATGCAGATTAAGCCGAATCCCAATAAGGCCATGATACCGCTGTCCATAGGTGAGTATTCAAAAAATTACTTATTTATTGAATTTGTTTACGTTATACAACTGCAAGCGGATGAGTTTATGTTAACATAAATATGTAAAAATAATTGAAATGTAAATTCCCATATACCTTTACTTGTATGGATATTTCAGTTGCCATATTTTTTAAATGTCGGTAAATCCACGCTCGCCTAGCTGGCTGGTTTCTTTTGGTATTTTCAGACCATTCTCCAATCCCTCCTGACGCAAGTCTTTCGAGTTCATTTTAATAAGTAGTATTTCCCTGTTTTTATGCTGAGTGGTAAAATATTGAAACTTGTTTAATTAACTACGCTACCATATTTTATACCCTGAACCCATTGAAAACGTCTTTAAAGGGTATAATGATTTTAAATAAATGTATGTAACAAGCAGACGGAAGCATCTGCGAACTCATATATATCTTCAGCATCAATAACCGAAGCGATCTAGCCATGTCGATCTATTCATTCGTATGTATAAACGCGTCGATCTCAGAATCTATAAGAGCTAGACTCTTAAAATTTTTACGTAGGTCTTTTCAATGCCCGCACAGTACGAGCTTGTTCGGATAATCTATGACTCAATCCGTTTCTAATTAATAGAATTCGATATCGAAATGCTGTTTTTTGAGCAAACTTCTTAGGTTTTATGAGCTGGTCAAAAAACTTGAATTGAAGCTTTTATAATAGTATGTACCGATCAAATATCTTTTATTTCAAACCTATAGCCAATATAGCTGAGCATGCGAGGGTGGCAAGAAATTCGGTTAGCTGAAAGTAGTTGTGATTTCGCCTCCGGAAGGGGGAACCAAATTTTTTATTTATGCTAAGGCAAAGGAGAGCGTACCGCGAGTTGCATGTGGTATTGATAGAAGAAGGTTCAGGGTATCTCCTAGTCGGGTACTCCCGAATAGAGCACTCTTGTTTTTTCCTTACTTATTAGTCAATTTTTGCAATATTCATATGCATATGTATGTGAACTTATACTATAAAACGTTTCCAGTGCCCATAAGCATATGCTTGTGTATTCATTAAGCAAAAGACATATTTACACTTCCATACGCATTCAAAAAAAACATGAAGCTATTAATTATTGGAATTTTTAGGAAAAAATCAGATTCAAATGCATTTTTAAGATACCTACATATTGCGTGATTCTTATTAATTTATTTCATATTCCTAGGTGGGGTGAACGTTAGAAGTGTGTATGTGTAAAGTCACAATACAAGGTGTGGACGGTTGTTACGTATTATTATTTTTTCTATCATCGAGCGCGCGCGTTTTCGATGCATTTGCATAAAATGTAGTTTCACCTGTTTTGAGAATCAAGAAGCAAGATCAATAATCGAATTTGTTTAGTGTCAATAATGGAGGGCTATCACAGTCGTCTAACGTTCCAACTTGGCCCATATGGGATTCAAGAATTGGAGGAGACATGCAAAAACGATTATAACGTGATTTAGAAATTTCTAAAAGTGATGCTCGTACTTAGTTAACAATTGTTTCTTGACCTTCGAGCGTTCTTCGAAAAATTGTTATAAACTTTGGCCTCATTACAGGCGATCCCACAACATTTGGTAATCTGAAAGCCGCCGATGAAACTATGAAGGCCGTGTTACGGTCGTTGGAGAGTGGAAAGTTTAACGGCTATGCCCATACTCAGGGCCATGAAACCTCGCGACAGGCGGTGGCCAAGTATAGTGCACATCAACGCCCTGAGGGGGTGATCGACCCAAGTGATGTATTGCTCTGCAGCGGCTGTTCCTCAGCACTAGAGTATTGCATATTGGCGCTAGCCGATCGTGGTCAAAACGTACTGGTGCCGCGGCCCGGCTTTTGTTTATACCATACACTTGCTGAAGGCTTGGACATTGAGGTGCGCTATTATGAATTGCTGCCAGAACAAAAATGGCGTGCCGATCTCGTCCAACTGGAGAGTCTTATTGATAAAAATACAGCTGCGTTGCTAATAAACAATCCAAGCAATCCATGTGGTAGCGTCTATGACGAAGCACATCTGCAGCAACTCGTGGCCATTTGCGAACGCCATTATATCCCAATAATTGCCGATGAGGTTCGTGAGAATTAATCTGTGCCCTGTTCCGATGAATTGAATCTGGCATGATATTGATGCGGGTTTTTTTTTTTTTTTTAGATCTATGAGCACTTTGTGTTTCCAGGTTCGCGCCACGTGGCGGTTAGCAGTGTGACGCGCGAAGTGCCAGTCTTGTCCTGTGGTGGGCTTACCAAGCGTTTTCTTGTGCCCGGCTGGCGTATGGGGTGGATTATTGTGCACGATCAACATCAGCGTCTAGGAACAGCAGTGACGGGTCTCAAGAACATGTGTGGACGCATCCTTGGCTCGAATACGATCATTCAGGGCGCACTGCCTGACATACTAACCAAGACTCCGCAGTGCTACTTTGATAGAGTGATCGAGACGCTCTACGTGAGTGCAAAACAAGTTTGACATGAAAAATGTCGCTAATTTTTAGTACAAATCCCCGTAGTCCAATGCTCAACTCGCTTACAAAATGCTAAAACAGGTGCGTGGCCTTAACCCTGTTATGCCCAACGGAGCCATGTACATGATGATTGGGCTTTCTAAAGAGCATTTTTCGGCTTTTAAAGACGACACACACTTTGTGCAGGAGTTGGTTAACGAACAGAGTGTATTCTGTCTACCCGGTAGTTGTTTTGCTTATCCGGGATATTTACGCATTGTTTTGACAGTACCAAGTGCTATGCTCGAGGAAGCCTGCGTCCGCATCGCCGAGTTTTGTTATACGCACTATAAGAAAGATAACCGGGCACTGATAGAGGACAGATTACTAGAGGATTGAAGCATGCATTATTAAGTGGAAATTGCATCAGGCAACATGTATATTTATTAAATAGTCTAGGTTAAAGTTGCTTGCATGGTATACATGCATATACATATATAATAATAATATAATATAATAATTTTATCTTAAAGAATGTGTAAAATCGTAATGCACCGTAGGATGTATATACATAAGCATGAGATTAAGAATCAGTTGTAAGAAAAGCGACACAAACATACGTATATAAGTATGTATGTAAATACATATGGATTTGAATTTGGAATATAAAGTAAACTTTTCTTTCAGATAATATGCATACATACATATGTGTACATTCATATGTATGTATGTATGTACTTACATCTACTGCTAGAGTTTTAATATGGAATTAATGTTTGTAATATAATCTAGTACGCTGAACTGAGCCTATTGACAATGGATAAAAAGTGTATAATGGTATTGTGCAAATGTATGTATGTATGTAACAGACAGAAGGAAGCATCTCGGAACCCATTATATTATTCTTAATAGACAAGTCGATCCAGTCATGTCCGTCGATTTTAAAGCTTACATAGTATATGAGCTAAAAAAATTTGAACGTGGGTCCTAGTGCCCGTGCAGTACGAGTTTGTTTTTAATAATCAACAGCTTGCCCCGTACCAAGCAATCTATGGATCAAGGTCTTAAGAGCTAAGGTCAAGTAAATGTGGTATGTAGCTTCTAGAATAGTACATACAGTATGTCAATAAAGTGTTTTGACTAACGAAAAAAAACTAATTTTTTGGGTTTAGTTGAAAATAAATGTACCTAAAAGTGAGAATTTTTTTTCAATTCTAATTTATTTCGATTCTATATTTTTCCTAGAACTTAATGGCAAAAAGAATTGTTAAATAACATTACCCAAACATTTTATAAAATTAAAAAACTAAAAACATTCAAATTTTATGCTGTCAATAAAGTGTTTTTACACGAAACTTTATTACTAAATAACAATGTTAAAAAAACAGGAATATTTTTTTTTAATACTTTGTGTGGCTGCCATTAGCGTCACATACAGCCTGCAATCGCCGTTTCATTGAAACAATAAGGTTTTGTATGTATGTTTCTGGAATCTTCTGCCATTCTTCCAGTACAGCAGCTTTTAAATCAGTTTTTGATTTTGGACTCCGCTTTGCGACTTTTTTTTTCAAATATGACCACACATTTTCTATTGGATTCATATCTGGACTTTGTGGTGGAGTGTCTAACACCTTTCCACAGTTGTACAACAGCCAAACTCTTACCATATGAGCTTTATGCTTCGGGTCATTGTCCTGGTAAAATTTAAAAATTGGCTTATTGTCCTCATAGAATCCAAATTTCTGTGCACTACTGACGAGATGTGTCTGTAAAATGCTCAGATATTGTCTAGCATCCATGGTATTCTCAATGAAGGTCAAATCTCCTACACCCTTGCTCGAAATACACCCCCACACCATCACTGATAGTTTTCCGAATTTAACGGTTGGAATAATATTGCGGTTTTCCAACGCTGTTAGTGGCTTTCTCCAGACTCTGGATGGCCCATCGTTGTAGAATAGCATCATCTTGCTTTCGTCACAGAATATGACGTTACTCCAAAAATCGTTCGAACTATTTACATGGACTTGAGCGAACGATAGCCGCTTCAAAATATTCGCCGCCGATAGTAGAGGTTTTTTCCTGGCAACTCGTGATGTGTAGTCATTGGAATTCAGTAATTTTCGGACAGTTTCATGTGACACATCAACACCACTTTCTTCCTTGAACTCCTGAGCAATATCCCTAAGCGAAATTTGTGGATTTTTCTCAATTTTTCTCAGAATTTTTCGCTTATCTCTGTCAGAAATTTTGCAGGGTCGACCACATACTGGCTTTGCCTCTAGCCTATCTTCCTTATTGGCTCTGTTTAATATGTTGTATATCGTTGCTTTTGATAAATTAAACATATCAGCCAGTTCCGAGACTTGACGTCCCATCTGATGGTTATAATACACCAGCTGAGCGACTTCAAAAGTTGTTCTTTTTCCTGGCATTTTATTTTTCATAAAATTAAAGCAAAACGTTATAAATTGCAATAGAAAATGACAAGAAAAGTCGAAGACACAAGAGAAGCCAAAACGCATGGGCCCAAATCTAACGGGATCACCCAAAAGAGAACGGCAAAACAATTTACCGTAGCTGTAAAAACACTTTATTGACAGCATAAAATGTGAATGTTTTTAGTTTTTTAATTTTATAAAATGTTTGGGTAATGTTATTTAACAATTCTTTTTGCCATTAAGTTCTAGGAGAAATATAGAATCGAAATAAATTATAATTGAAAAAAAATTCTCACTTTTAGGTACATTTATTTTCAACTAAACCCAAAAAATTAGTTTTTTTTTGTTAGTAAAAACACTTTATTGACATACTGTATATGCAGATCAAATATATTCAATTTTAAAGCTATCACTCTTTCCTCCGCCCTATGGCCAGCAATAAAATAAATAAATAAATCGAAACTAGCCACCACTTAAAATCACAATGCTATTGTCTTTTTTAGAATATACGAATAACAAATAACAACTTAGTAAAGAAAATGTGTGGTTATATTGTCAAGCCACGTGACTGCAAGAGCAAAACGTAAGAATATGTATCTGTATGCATTTGCACACATGCACACACAGTAGCTCTTATACATACATACATATGTATGTATCTCTGTATTTACGAACACGTGTAGTACAAACATAAGCACAATTGCACATAAACAGGTTACCTTGCATTGGTACAGTTCAGATAATTGTACACTATGTATGAATGTTAGTATATATTTATGTACATATGTATGTATGTACATCTATACTAATCGTATGTGTATACGAGAGATACAAAACATATTTAACGATGTACCCATATATGCATATGCATGTTATTGAATAATAAAATTATTTTACAAAAACATGCGTCAATGCATTTGGCTAATGATCCATCTACATATGATGGGGATGCATTTTCTTTTCCATTTGAATTTCAACGCGAGCCTCATCAATTCCAGCGACCGTTGGAAGTCCCCCTGGCCAATGTAATAACTCCGGTTCATGCTCCATAATTATATTCGCTTCGGCTGTAAATATAAATAAACAAATGGAAATCTTAAGATTGGCGTGGACATAAACTATCTCATAATGGCAGCGAATTTACCCTGTATCCGATGCAACTTGCTCCCATAGGCCCAGTCAGCGTAATATCCCATTACAAAGGTAAGTGGTAATAGAGGCGCCAGTGCTGAGGCACGCTTGACTCGCTGGTAGTAGCTAGCGCAGCCATAAAAAGCGCTTAGATAGAAGCCGCTCAGCCAGTAAAAGAGTTCCCGATGCTGAGCAATGGCCAACGCCTTTTCCCGTTGCTTGATTTGGTAGTGCATCTGAATCCAGCGTTCCATCTGCATTCAGTTCGTTAATTTATCTCCCCTTGAGCAATACAGGCTATATAAGGAACTTGCCTTCAACTCCTGGCACTTGCGATACGCCGGATCATCATGCTCGGGATACCCAAGGGTTGGGGATTTATTATGCAAGGCCGTTGCGCCCATGTTATGCTTATGATGCCTGAAAACTTATGCTCCCTTATTTGGAGTTGCTGGTGTCCGTCTAATATTGTTGTCATCGACCCGTTGCTGTAGATATCAATGCGCAGGCGCTAGCCAGAGCACATAATTTGTATCGTTTGTATGGTAGGATGGTTACTCCCCGTCAGTTGGTTTACTAAGACACTGCTCTTATAAGTTCGCGTTCATATACATCTTTGAATTACCCGTTTACTGTTTAGTGGAAAAAGCATTTTTCTACTTTTTAAATGTATTCGCTTAGTTGTACAAATTTTAGTTAAAGCTATTGTTGTGCATGCAAGTGTATATGTGCAATTTCTAACGATTAAATAATTTGGGTCTTTTTGCGCTTCTAAGGGTAGTTTTTTTTTTTTTTTGTTTAAATGAGCATATACTCTACCAAAAACTAAAGTATGTAAGATGCGTTATGATATATGCTTACGTGCAATTCAAGTATAAGAAATATATTTTATACCAATTCTCACGTGGATAAGTACGTTAATAAATGTATACATACTTTTTCGGGTTCCTGTATAGATAAGCATATATGTATAAAAGTATATGGACGTCGCTCTGTTATTATCGAGGGTTGAAAATGTTTCAAGGAATCTGAAAGTTGCTTGAAATAATCAGCTATTTGAACGTATATATTGACAGAGAATCCTTAATAATTGTTGCCTAACATTATAGACAGACAAACAAGTTGGGAGTATTTCTCCCTTCTATTTTAACCTGCGACATTAAAAAACAACCCGGGAGGTAGCAAGATGCGCTGCTTGAATGATTGACCGCTTACAGATTCGTCGCTTGGGTGCAGCTGCTAGAAGAAAACGCGCGGGAGGCGGAAGCAGCTTTCACACCGTCAGCGGCATTACAACGCCAGCGACAGCTAGCACCAGCTCCTCCAGCGGAAACAGTTTCACACCTCAGCAACATCTACATTCACATCCTCATCAACACCAGCACTCGATTATAGGGAGCTCCCAGCAGCAAATCAGTCAGATAAGCCTTAACCCATCGTCGGGTAGCAGCCCCTGCAACGGATTGGGCACACGTCAAGATGCATCCAGCGTGCTCAACAGTCCGACAACTATTGTGAACTCGGGCAGCTGCAACAGCACTGCTTACGGGATGCAACAGCAGGTTGGAGGCTTGTCAACAGCGGCTGTGACAAGTACGCCGACAGTTATAGGCAGCCACACTGCAAGCAATGCCCTCAACAACGGAGCGGGAGGAGCAGTTTGCCCAGTGGGAGGTGTTAGTGGAGGCCTCAATCTGCTGGGCAGCATTGGCGGTCTGGGAGGTGGAGCCGCCGTCGCTGGTATGGGCATTTGCGGTGGTATAAGCAGCACCGTTGGCAGTGCTGCTATTACAGGAGTGCCGCCAATCGGATTGGGGATTGCCACAGGAATTGGGAATAAGATTATGCTGGGCCGAAAGCAAAGCCTCAAAGGGGGTGAACCCTTTTTAGCTGACTACGGCCCGGAGGAATCGTTAAACGAGAGCGCAGATATTGAATGGGTGAACAAGCTATGGGTGCGACGATTGATGCGTTTGTGCGCCTTAGTCTCACTGGCGTCTGTCTCCTTAAATACGCCGAAGACCTTCGAGCGTCATCCCTCATTGCAGTATATCACGTTTGTCTCAGACACAGCTGTGACAGTGCTCTTCACGGCCGAAATGATTGCTAAAATGCACATTCGTGGAGTTCTAAATGTGAGTCACGGCCCAAATCGAGTTAGCGGACCGTTCACGCTTCCTTTGCTTATTCCAGGGCGAGGTGCCTTACCTTAAGGATCATTGGTGTCAGTTTGATGCCTCCATGGTAAGCTTTCTATGGGTCTCCATCATACTTCAAATATTCGAAGTACTTGAAATCGTGCCTAAGTAAGTAGTCAGTGAAATACCTTTTTGAATTAATTCCTGAATTTCTAGACCTTTTTCCTTACAGATTCTCCTACTTATCTATTATGAGGGCTCCGCGTCCGCTTATTATGATACGCTTTCTTCGTGTTTTTCTTAAATTTAGTATGCCCAAGAGCCGCATCAATCAAATCTTCAAGTAGGTAGTTAATCCTAGGACCCGAACAAGTGTCTTATACCGTCTCTTTCTATTTATAGACGCTCAAGTCAGCAGATTTATAATGTGACGCTATTCTTTTTGTTCTTCATGTCGTTGTATGGACTTCTCGGTGTGCAGTTTTTTGGAGAGCTGAAAAATCATTGTGTTATGAATAACACCGGTTATGATCAGTTGGGCAGGCCGTAAGCATGCAGTATATAACAATAGGATTCATCTAAAACATCTTATATATTATCAGTGTGCTCACAATTAACTCATTGGCGATACCAGACACATTCTGCTCAATGGATCCTGACTCAGGTTATCAATGCTCGCCGGGCATGCGTTGCATGAAAATGGATTTTTTAAGTAGTTACGTTATAGGCTTCAACGGCTTCGAGGACATTGCGACAAGTATTTTTACAGTATATCAAGCCGCTTCGCAAGAAGGATGGGTTTTTATTATGTATCGCGCAATAGACTCACTCCCGGCATGGCGTGCGGCATTCTACTTCAGCACTATGATTTTTTTTTTGGCTTGGCTGGTTAAGAACGTGTTTATAGCTGTCATAACGGAAACTTTCAACGAGATACGCGTCCAGTTTCAGCAGATGTGGGGAGCCAGAGGCCACATACAAAAGACGGCTGCTTCTCAAATACTTAGCGGAAACGATTCGGGCTGGCGATTGGTCACAATCGATGACAATAAGCATGGCGGATTAGCACCTGAGACCTGCCATGCAATTTTGCGCTCTCCATATTTTCGAATGCTGGTTATGTCGGTTATACTTGCCAATGGTATTGTGACGGCCACGATGGCATTTAAGCATGACGGTAGGCCACGTCATGTATTTTATGAGAGATATTACTACATAGAGGTGATCTTTACGTGTCTCCTCGATCTCGAAACAATGTTTAAAATATACTGCCTGGGTTGGCGTGGCTATTACAAGCATTCTATACACAAGTTTGAGCTGTTGCTTGCAGCTGGTACTTCATTACACATAATTCCCATCTTCTATCTGTCTGGATTGACTTATTTTCAAGTGCTTAGGGTAGTGCGACTCATAAAAGCCTCTCCTATGCTAGAAGGCTTTGTGTACAAAATTTTTGGACCCGGAAAAAAGCTAGGCTCGCTTATAATCTTCACCATGTGCTTACTAATCATTAGCTCAAGCATTTCAATGCAACTATTTTGCTTTTTATGCGACTTCACCAAGTTTGAGTCGTTCCCGGAGGCGTTTATGAGTATGTTTCAGATTCTAACGCAGGAAGCGTGGGTGGAGGTAATGGATGAAACGATGATACGCACAAGTAAAACGCTGACACCGCTAGTAGCCGTTTATTTTATATTATATCATCTTTTTGTTACGCTCATCGTGCTCAGTCTTTTCGTAGCAGTAATATTGGATAATTTGGAGTTGGACGAGGACATTAAGAAACTAAAGCAGCTTAAGTTTCGCGAGCAAAGTGCGGAAATAAAGGAGACCCTTCCCTTTCGATTACGAATTTTCGAAAAGTTTCCAGACTCACCACAAATGACCATTCTTCATCGCATTCCAAATGATTTTATACTGCCTAAGGTGCGTGAGAGTTTTATGAAACATTTTGTAATTGAATTGGAAACGGAGGACCCATCGCTTGTGGAAAACTGTAAACGGCCGATGTCTGAGTGTTGGGAGTCCAATGTTGTTTTTCGTAAGCAAAAACCAGTGCGCATTATGAACAAAACCGCAAAAGTGCGAGCAGCAGGAAGCAGCCTCCGAAAATTGGCCATCACTCATATTATAAAGTAGATACCAAGAATATATGGCAGTTAATATGAAATAACAATTATTTCTTTACCGCAGTGACAGTAACAATCAGCGTCTTATGCTGGGTGACTCGGCCATGTTGCCAGTGGTGGGCACTAAGGGCGGCCTAAAATCACAGGGTACCATTACACATTCCAAGCCATGGCGGGTTGACCAGAAAAAGTAAGTAAAATTTGCCCGCAGGTGGCATGATTCGTTTGATGTGTATTCGCTACCAATTTACAGATTTGGATCCCGCTCCATACGTCGCAGCGTGCGCTCTGGATCTATTAAACTAAAGCAGACATATGAGCATCTAATGGAGAATGGTGACATTGCTGCTGCACCTCGCGCCAATTCCGGCCGGGCTAGGCCTCACGACCTAGATATCAAGCTGTTGCAAGCGAAGCGTCAGCAAGCAGAAATGCGACGCAATCAACGCGAGGAAGATTTACGTGAGAATCATCCGTTCTTTGACACGCCGCTATTTCTTGTGCCTCGAGAGAGTAGTTTTCGTAAGATCTGCCAAAAAATCGTTCATGCACGCTATGATGCGAGGCTCAAAGATCCATTAACTGGAAAGGAGCGCAAGGTGCAATACAAGAGCTTGCAGTGAGTAAACGTCTAATGTGCTCTAGTGATAATACTAATTTATATTATTTGCTTACCATTAGTAACTTCCTTGGTCTAGTCACTTATCTTGACTGGGTTATGATTTTTGCTACCACTCTTTCGTGCATCTCAATGATGTTCGAGACCCCCAGTTATCGTTTAATGGATCATCCTACGCTCCAGATCGCCGAATATGGTTTTGTTATTTTCATGAGCCTGGAGCTTGCTCTGAAAATTCTTGCTGATGGTTTGTTCTTTACACCAAAAGCTTACATCAAGGATGTGGCTGCAGCGCTTGACGTCTTTATATACGTAGTTTCAACTTCATTTCTTTGCTGGATGCCACATAACATACCCACCAATTCTGCGGCCCAACTGCTGATGATTCTGCGATGCGTGCGCCCGCTGAGAATCTTCACGCTGGTACCCCACATGCGAAAAGTGGTCTATGAGCTGTGTCGCGGCTTTAAAGAAATCTTATTAGTTTCAACGTTGTTGATTCTTCTCATGTTCATCTTTGCTAGTTACGGAGTACAGCTTTATGGTGGTCGTTTGGCACGCTGTAACGATCCCACAATAATTCGTCGTGAGGATTGCGTTGGTGTATTTATGCGACGCGTATTTGTCACTAAAATGAAGCTG